CTATTCATTAGGGCAAATATAACAGTTAGGAATTGGCTTCCAGCTTTTGAGTTGGCAGTGGGATGAGAGCATCTACTCTTTTTGCCCTTAGCATTTCAACTAATTGCTTCATTCTCTCCCCCTGCACAGAAACCCCGAAATCATGTCTCCAATTATTTCTGCTCAGAGGTGAAACACAGCAGTCTTTCTGGCTGCTTTACACAGTACAATGCCCTTATGTGTAGGACAAGGAGGAAGCGACTTACTTTTTCTAGTGAGTGATTTTTCTCTCAAAGTGGATAGAACAGCAGTAGAACTACTGAGATACATTCATTGTAGCACTGAACACATTCCACCTTCGTTGTACTGTAAATTTTTTTATATTTGATATTAAAAAATAATGTTCTCTACAGAATCAAGTTCTCTACAGAAAGAATTTTTAGAAATTTGTTGGCCTTTTTTGAATAAATGTCTTTCTGTATTTCCTTTGTTAACACCATCTTTAGTTTTTCATAAGATGTTGGATTTTATGGGTCATTATATAGTGTTTGTATATATGTATATAAGTATATATATCATACATACACACAGACTCTATTACTTTACAGATTGCTTCTCAAACTTACTTGAATTGTTGACATTAGTGGCTTTACAAAAATCTTGAGGAAGATATTTTTAAAAATTAAAGGGAGTGAGTAATTCATCATAGTATAACACCTGGGTGTTGAAATTAGTCACTAGGCCCCAGTGCTATTCACAAATTACTTCCTTGAAATCTTTAGCACCATTGACTTAAGGGAGGGAGAGGGGAACCAAAAAAACAAAAAACAAAAAACGGTTCCTGGAATATAAATATATATTTCCTACTGAATTAATAAAGGATTTCCTGCCATTTTTCCCCATTAATGAAGTTCAGCTCTTTCGCTTTGGTAATAGAAAGCAGGGCTTTATTGTATTTAACTTTATTTAAAATAAGCTTTTTTGGTATAGAATGTCCATATTATAGTGAATAATAACTTAGTTGGTATGCCAGAAATAGCCCAGAGTTTCTAATTTTGCGGTATTTCTGTTTAGAGTTCTTGGATAAAGGACTTCAGCATACTGTCATTTAATTGACTTAACAACTGTATTTTTCCCCCTCTTTTGCATTGTCTTTTCTAAGCTCTTTATTCACCTAAAATGAAGTGTGTCTTGAAAAAAATTAAAAAAACAACAACAATAACATATCTTACAAGTTTTAATTCTGAGTGGTTCAAATGTGCCAAAATAAGATATAAGGATAAAAACAGTAATGGGCTTCTTTTCTAGTGACATAAATTTTTATGTTAATAGAAATTCAGTTTGTTGCATTTGACCCTTTCCAATAGGACTTAGTTGCCTTTGTGAAAAACTGGAGGCATGGTTAAGAACTATAGTTCTAAATCATTTTTATTTATTATTTGCAAATTAGTTTTGATGTCCACAGTCTAGATAAAGACTTTATTTCTAAACCATTAAATTAATATAAAAGTTGTAAAAATATTTTTAAAATGTTTTCTAAATGATTTTAGGAAATATTTAATGATAATCTAAGACAACTGTAAACATATTTTTTTTATCATGATAGGGTGCATTTTGTAAAACAGATGGGCAGATTTTAAAAAGGTAATTTTTTCTTTTACTAGATCAGTAATTTTTCATACAATTACCTCAAGAAAAATTCCAGTTTCTTGGTATGTCTGGTTAGCATTTGACAAGGATATGAAGCTTGGTGAATAACAAATATATTACACAGTTTAATGAACCCCACAGCAGCATTCTCAGTGCAAATTATTTTCTTTGTAGAATACTTTGGCTTTAAACCAATAGGATATGTCATTCCAACAAGCTGTGTGATACTGGAATTCTCATTCACTTCTAAGCAGTCTGAATTAACGGTAGTTATTTCCTTTGACCGAGGTTTGCATATGAAAATGCTTGCTCCACTGGAATTCTCAAGACCTTTCCTTTATTATGTTCTATAAATGTGATTTGTCTTTACTATTTGCAGTTCATTCAAGGAAAAGATAATATTTATTACTTTAGTTGGTCATCAACCCAGCTACTTCCCCTCCAGTTTCCAAACTATACAGAAATTTTTACTGTTAAATGAGTAGACTTGGTCTGTATCATCTGGATCATCAATGAATAGATATTTATTAAACATTCATCATATGTAAATTACTGTGCCAGGTATCCTTCAGGTCTTCAGTTCTGTGAAATGGTGAGCCACAGGAAATGGTGAGCAGTATAAAGTTAATTTAGTGTCATATAGCAACCAGCTTTATGGTTTAATGTCCTGTAAGACTTAATATTCATATAATCCATTAATTTCAAACCTTTCTTTTTTATAATTCACTGAAAGTAATTTTCACTTTTTTTTTTTAGCATCACTGAATTTGTATTCTCAGCTCTGTATTTAATGTCTTATCAGAACAGTATCATCATAAGTGACCATCACCCAAATTGAAAAGATCAGATATGGTATACACTTAAAACTAATATGATGCTATATATCAATTAGAGCTCATGAAAAAAGACATATAAAAGAAAATATAGAACAACCCATTAAAATTTGAATTTCAGGTAAACAATGAATATATTTTTTTTAGTGTAAACATGTAC